ATTTTTAATAAAAGTATAAAGTTAAAAAAATCTTTTACGTTGATTTAATATTATTTTTCTGCTTGGTATATAATATTAATTATCATAATTTATTACTCAAATGATCTTATGGTATTGAAAATAAACACATCCATCAGTTAATTTTTACATTAATTAAAGCTCTGTGACCCATGGAAATCTAAAAAAAAAAAAAAATTAATTTAATAGAAAAGTGTATTCATTGATCATCATAAATTCAAAATTCTAAGGCTTCTTTAATGTATTTTTTGTTACATTTTAAAATCAATTATTGCATTAATAGTTCGATACATTCGAATGTTAATATAAGTCAATTTAGAAAGTAGAAAATTAATTAACCAATAAAAAAAAATGAATACATTCCTAGGTCTCTTGCTCCACTTAGAATTTAAAATTTACTAATCAAAATATTGAACTTTGTAACCATTTTACTTCGCCAATAGTCAGTACCTAATTATTAAAAACTTTAATTAAAACTTTAATCAATCGGTATTAAACTAAAATCATTCTCTACAATATAACTTAATGGTAATTATTAGTATTACCAATATAATATGTATGATATAAGTTACTCTATGTGGGATATTACTTTTATTATTAACGAGATCGGCCATTAGGGTTTACCCACCCAAATTTGTACACAATGAATCTGTTTCATGAAATGTAATCTATTGGTGTCACCAATGTAATATTCACGACCTCTCATTGTTTAATAAATCATTGTTGATAAAGAGAATTACACACTTCTGCGATCATTGAATAGTAATTTTCGTGTGAATCAATTTGTTTGTTCGGATGGTCAACGCTGCGAGGTTTGCTATAAAAACATATGCCATTTCCGCGGACTAAAATATATCATATTTTCGATGGTTGATAGCCATTGATAAATTTGACTTGAGTAAACTATATATACATCGTTCAGATTCAATAATATGAACAAAGTATTTGTATTTATGTTATTTTGTTTTTGTTTTTTTGCTTCCTACGTATTTCACGGCGAAATGTTAAACAAATGGGTGTTAAAATGTTAAACGAATTTATATCGTAGTTGTTGATAACTTTTTAATACTTTAGTGGTATGATTTTAAGTTATATTATCTCATAAGGCCATAATCGTTACTTAATCATACTTATTAAAATTATTATAAAAGCTTTGTGAAACCAAATAAGTAATTTTATTAAATTACAACACAGAAAACATAAGTTAAGGTTTTAACGTAAGTCAAGTGTAAGTTATTTAAGTTGTTGTTTTTCTTATATAATGGAATTTAGCAAATAAAATTATTGAAAAGTAAAGTTTTATATCTTTATGTTGGTTTTAGATGCTTTGGGTCATTAGGGATATTTTACATTATATTTCGTTACTATATTTGCTATGTATTTTGTTACAATACATTTTACCAACTAATTATTATTTTTTTTTGTAATATATTTATTTCGTTATATTTAAAAACGACACATTAATTATTTATAATAATTATATAATTAAAATCATTAACAAACAATTATGAAAATATTTTGTAATTCCGATAAGATGAAATCACTCTAATATTTGTCGAATTTTTTTTTCGAATTATAAATTTGTTTATAATCCGTATGTATAATAATATATAATTCAATAGGAAAAAGTGATGACATCAATTACGTATGCTAGACATGCATATATGTGAGAAAGAAGAGGCCAGTGACACCACTTCACAAATTTAAACTCATTCGTTTGAATCTATAGAATTGGTCGTTTGAGATTCTTACATTTTTACGTCTGAAGTATAGATGATTATTAGTATATTTGTCACGTGCAAAGTAAAAAATAAAGCATTCTGGACAATTTTCTAGTACTTGAAATTAGGTGCTGGACCACGTTTGAGAGATAGTGGAAAAATTATAAAATATGTAAATTTGCAATAGTGTCATCGCTATAGACCCATATGTTGATACAACATATAAATATAAATAATTCTAATATTAGCATTACTAAAATGATAAAATACGTATCAATAATTTCATTTGTCGTGATTGATTTGTTAAAACTTAATAATTAATCACTCATAAATTATAATATCGTAAATATTAATGCAGTGCGGTATTATATTGGAGTGATTTCTTAAATACTGTTTAAAAATTCAACGTTTATGTAGTTTAAAATTACTTTCATGCCTGCTTGATGTGTTAGTATTATAAATACCACTACCGAAAAGTTGACCCCAAAATCTTAATGATAACTGAATAGAATTTTAAATACTTATTTCTACTTTCAAGAAAAAATAGAAAAAAAGATTCTTGTAAATTTAATATACTAATATAATAAATACAATAAATATAATATTTTCAGTGCGTTATACGGATTCATCTCACACAAGGTACGGCATAGAGAAGTTTTATCGTAGTATACAATTAAACCAGTGGTTTCATTTGAGGGGAGGGGTGGAAACTGGGGCATTAATTCAACATATAGTCGGCATATTTAAAAAATATAAGGAGTCTTCAAGAGGTCAATTTTGTCAACAAATATTAACTGTGGTTGATCTGATCTCTTGAACCCCTAGATCCACCCCTGAGTGTCACCTAATAATTATTATTACATTTTTTCACGGGTTGTTTGCACCTGCGTATTTTTGGTCCAAAACCGATTTTTGTAAATATAATTGCTCTTTGAAAAGCGTAATCCGACGTTATTAATTTCAAAAACGGAATAGCATGGATGCGTGAAACTCTCAGTAATCTAATTTGTAACGAAATACAAATGAGGAGCAGCGCATCGTAACGCACTCGTGTGTTAGATCGCGACCATAAGACGTTTCTCACTTGCCGACACCGAGATCGCGCTGTGCTTATGACTTCGAAAAAATTGTATGGATGCTATCGAAAACCCAATGAAGTTCGGCGGAATCAACTGCGTACAGTCGAATTCGAGAAAAAAGTTTCTCTCTTACTTATAAGTTAACTTAAGGTCTAACTTAACGAACCCAAAGGACCCGGATCTTTGTCGAGAAACATTTTAGGTACGAGTGTAAAAATCAATTTCGTATGTTTTTTGTAACTATCCCGTGCTTTTCTTTACATGTCCATAATATAAATTTCTTTATATCAATTTTTTCAGTGAATCGAATTCACGTAGAAAAATGTAATATATTTTAATATTTTACCTGTAATTTAAAATCGACAATTGATCGTGCGTATGAATGTACCTACTGCGCTATTCAAATTTGCGAGAAAAACTACTGATAAACAGATAAAATGCAATGGTACACGGATATTACGTGGAATTCTCTCGTCACAATGAAGTGTTGATTAGTCTAATTCCAATAGATCATTATTATAGATACAACAGAGTATATTACAGGAATTTAAATTAATACAAACATGTTTAATTAATAAAAAGTACATCAAAATATAACCATTAAACACATAATACTTAATTCAGTACAAACGCGTACAAATACTTACATTACATTTTCAACTGACATAGTTGTTTGAAAACATTTAGTGTTTAAAACGTACCCTGTTTCTTATATACATTTGCGACATTTCACAACAGATCAGAAACATAAAATAACCGGAAGGACCTTTAAATCATATTATTCGTTTGAAATTTAAAACAGAACATATCTCAAGGATTCTCGACTATTTTGATTTAAAATTTAGAACTTAATTTTGAAATCAGTCTGGAATCTGTTTACTAAATATATTAAATAAGTACAAATTGATTTGTAATAAGAACTGTTGATAAATTATTAAAATAACGAAGAGATGAATAATGATAACTTTTGGTGTTAATCGATCAATTACTTGGTTATAAATTGTAAGGAAAATAGTTTGAAAAATTTTTTAAACATTGATTAATGTTTAAAAGCGTAATATTTTCGTGTATTTTATATTTACTCTAAGACTTAAATACAATTTTTTAGGTATTTAAATATTTCGAAATTCTCTTGTTGTACATTAAAACAGTTTTGAAGTCAAACAAAGTATAATCTAATATTGCGTCTATATTACACTTTAATTTTGAGACTTTGATTAGTTTACGTATGTTTATTACTTACATTAACATACATTATTCTAGTAATAGTAAAAAATACTAGTACAAACATTTTTGATACTCTTATCTTAACCAATATACAATTATATGTGTATGAATTAAATAATGTGTAATATATTATTATCAGAAGTTATTTCGATATTAATCAGTCAAGTGTTGACGACATATTAGAAAATGTTAACACAGGCCTGCTGGTGTGGTTTGGTGTATTTTTATAAATTGAGACTTAATTATCTAGAAAAAAATAAAACAACATATTTCTTATTAAATACACATAATGTCTTTTTTCTAAACATGATCTTTGTCAACACCGTCTTTAAATCTTAACTACAATTTTCGAAATTATAATGTAAATACATTTATTATGTACATTTCTAAATTTCTAATACGTATTCAAGTTTAGCCCATATTTATTATAGACAGTTTATTTACAGAAGTTATATATAAATTATAACTAAAAATATTTAAAAAATATTATAAATCTATATCATTTATCAGAAGTATTATTGTTGTATTTTCATTTTTTGTAATTCGTTTGTAAAATATTAAGTGTACAGAAATATATGTTTAATAGTCCATAAGTATAATTATATACACTATAAAAAGCATAAGTATAAAGGAATTAATAATACACTTAATATAAAAATGGTGATACAAACTTTTCGGTTTAATTGTTTTAATTATATAAATAAAATATTTAAGAAAACGGATGTAGGTACAAGATTTGATTTGATTTCAATAATTAATTTAAACATTTTTTCTAATAAGTTGTTATAGTATTGAAATTATTTTCATAACGTATAACATTCATGTAAATCGTAATCATTTAAAAATAAATCTTAAAAAAGATACAATTTCAAAAATTTTGATTTGATAATTTCAACTTGAAGTCTGTATATATTATATTACCACAAATAAAATCTTAAACTTTAAAAATTGAGTATACTACTATAAAATCAAATCAAATTTGACTTAACCTATTATTAAGTTTTAGAATTTTAAATGCATAAGTAATACGAATGGAACTTTTTTAGAATATAGATACCAAGTGGAAGTTATTGAAAGGATCATTAGATTAAGGTCCTTCCAGTCAATAAATATTATCCGTTCGGCAGATATGTGAAAAAAGAACGTATGTTTTTAACTAATATCACATCAGAGTCACGGCGTCAAATTAACTAATCTTATTAAAAACCGAAGTACAACAAATTATAATAACCAATAATTTCTAAAAAGATCACAATAATGTTGGGAGTGGAAGATGACAGAAAAAGCCTCTGCTGATTACGAAACGGCGATGGTTCCGGTGACCAGTGTAGGCGGCAGTAATGATCATTCTTCGTCACAGGAATGATTCTGGCCCGGGCAGTTCACCGGGTTTTATGAGGAACGGCTCCAGTTGGGCCATCATCAGGTCACTGGTGGACAGCTGCTTGTCGTGATATTCACCGCGATGTTTGAAAGCCTTAGACCCAGAAGTACTATCCGACGGATCGCTGTAGTTGGTTGAATGGTCCAGTGGTTGCATAAGGTGCATCTCTGAAAGTAAACCCACTTAATGTCACTGTTTCTTTGATACGAGGATCCTATACAGGTACGTGTAACTTTCATTCAAACGAAAGCATGCATTTCATATATAATTATAGCTGTACTCTCTTTTAATCTAATTTAAATTCGAAGACGTAATACTTAAATGTGTACGTATCTGATTTTTTTAGCGCACGTATAAAAAAAGTTAATGAGACGTGTGAACTTTATTGTTGTGAAATTCTAATGCATCTGACGAGTGTTTAAAAATATATGTTTGTTGTAACTAACCCTTGATCGAGTAGAATAAGTTTTGGTGTATGTACAGTTAGTTATATATTTTTTTTTTTTGTAATTTCACCGTCGGCCAATAAGAACGTGCTGAACGAACCTTTTTTGACCGAATGGTAGGACTGCCACGATATAGGTATGAATACCAAATGAAATAATTCCTCGAAAGGAATATTAACGTTGTTCAGAACCTTCACAGCCATATATATTTTTTTAATTATTATATTAGTTTATTCTGCACCAGAATAAAGTTTAAGAACTTCTAAATTGTCTTGTTTGGTGATTTATTACAAATATTATAATAACTCGTTTTAAACAGCTCTAATTTTGTTTCAACTTTAATACAATTATTTTTAAGATCAAATTAATTAAATATATATTTAATATATTCAAATTAATATAAATGATATAATAATCACTTCGTGATAGTTTTGTTTACCAAATTCATATAAATTTTAATCATATAAAATTCATATAATATTCCAAAAAATATGTTTTCAAATTGAACTATTCTCTAAAATCTTATTATAATCAAGCCGATGTGATATTTAATTTATAAATTAAAGAATATCTAATAAAATTAAACTGACGGTTTAAATACGTATTTGTCTGTATTAGTTAAATAGTTATTATAGTTAAAACAAAACATTCAAATAATAAATAAGTATCTATTATGTTAAACAATACACCGAAAATATAATAAAATAAAGTACACAAAAAAAAACCTAACACTAAAATAATTTATAAAACATAAGGAATTGTTAAAATGTCATTGTGTTATGACTTATATTACACAATTATATCAGACATGATATGTCCAATTTATGAAGTATATGTAATAAATAAATATCCTTATTTAAAATGACATATTTATTTTGGTATATCCACAACACAAATTTTTTTGAAAACATTAAACAATCGTTTATTTAAATAAAATATAATTTATTATGCACAAGCTTATCAACATATTCATAAAGAATAGAACATTCATGAATAAATAGGTATTTATATTTCCATTCATACATTATACTAAGCAATTGTTATGAAATTTTAGTGGCTATCAGAAGTTATATTGGAATGTTAAACGTTAAATATTTATAGGTATATTTAGATATATAAATATAAACTTTAATAGCTGCTTGTTATATGCATGATTAAATAACAATTATGAGATAAAGAAAAAAATGTTATGAGTTTAGTAAATTATAGGTATCGTTCATGTGACGTAGTTAATAGGCACGTTAAAGAGTTGTAAAAACAGGTTAATTTTATTTTTTTTTTCTAAAAATGAATCGTCAATTTTACCAGTATGAGCCCGAAGCGAGATGAGCTTTTTCAGATCGTGTGCACTGCAAAGCGGCGTGTCTACTACATAAGTATTATTGAATAAACTATAATCCACTTCATGTTCCCCCGTTTCTTTCTTGAATGACACCAATGTCTCAAACCTGTGTCCCCAAAGTATTTCATTGGGCAGGTATGATGATCTAGCTTGTGTCGTCATCCCTGTTGACTCAATTACTCCTAAAAAATAATTTTACGTTTCAAAAAAAAAAAATAAATAAATAACGGATTGTTATAACATTAAGTTGTCTAGACATTTTCATAACTTGTATACTTCAAAAGCAAATACATTTTTTACTTTATTGAAAGAAAAAGCGGCCGAATCATAATGATAAATTGTGTATGAACATTACGATTTTTACCATATAAAAAAGAAAACTATAAATAAAAAAAAATAAAATATTAAAAACGATAAAGAACAAAATTCTTAGAGTAAAAAAAAGTAGCAAGTAAATTGTTTCATATGTATAATTTTTCAAATTCGTTCATAAGATGAATTTTTTTTTAAATAAATAAGCTTCTTTGTAGAATATTTAATAATTCTACCGAGCTTGAATAAAGTAATAATTTTCTTTGTATAGTAAAATATGTATTAGATAAATTTGATGAATTTGATGAAATATAATTAGTGTATAAAAATAAATATGATTATATCTAATCTATTAAATTTTTTTTTTTTTTTGTTTAATTAAAAAATAGAAAATTCTTCTTACTGTGTAGATATGTTTTGTTTTATTAATAATTACCTTCTAGGACAACGACAATTTCAAACTTTTCCTGTAAGAAATCAGCTGCTGAAAGCATATACAAGGGTGACTGTGGAGTGATTTTATGCACTATAGTCGTAGGCCATATGAAGAATATTCTGTCTTCCTCACCATCTCCGCCGACTTTAAGTTCTTGTTGATGGAACGGTAACAACTCACCTTCTATAGTCATCTAAATACGAGTCAAATCAATTTCCAAACAATGGGTAAGTTGAGTTAAAAATATTTAACTATAATTGAACTTATATAAATTTTTATCTTTTCATATCATTATAATAGGTATGAAAATATAATATGACGAGTACTAACTCACTATTATAATCTATCATAATTACTTTTAATTTTTTTTACTAGACAAACTTTCATTTTTAAAGCAGTTTAATTATTATACTCGTACAATATACATCAAGGTTGTGCATAACTGACTATTAGATAGGAACTCACTTTTTTTTTTATTAGTTGCGCTCTGACATGAGCTTCAATAATATGTGATTTTCTCATATCACCTACTCGGAACATAAGACATAAAATACCATCCCTTTGGCAAATTACAGCGTTTCTGCTAAACAGAAGCGTCTGCGTGCGTTTTTTCGGTCTGGACAATTTTGCAAAAACTACACCGACCATAAAAGCCTGGATCATAACGCCTACTATGCTCTGTAGACACATAATGAATATTGCTTCAGGACATTCTTCTGTAGTATGTTTGGAACCATAACCTGAATAGGGCAAATGATAAATGATAAAATAAATAAATGTTGTGCAGTGCAACTTAAACAGATTAGTTTGACTTATGGGTTGGCTACAAAAGTGTAAAGTTGTCTATAGATTTTCAGAGAACCTAAAGAAAAATATAATCTCTAATATACAGTAAAATAGTTAATTGTAGTTGTTTACCTATTGTGTGCTGAGTTTCGACACTGAATAGGAAACACGAAGTAAACGAATACATTTCTCGAACACATGGTTCCCATGTCGAGTTATTATTCCTCACCGAAACATCCAAATCACCATGATTTAGAGCAATTAGCCACCACACTATTGCAAAACCCAACCAGCTGAGCATAAAGTTCATTGAGAATACCAACAATGTCCATCGCCATTGAGCATCAACAAGTGTTGTAAATATATCCTGGAATTTTAAAAGAAAGAAGAATATTAATAAATCACGAAATATAAACAAATGTATGAGTTATCGTGGACACATAACGGTATGAATTAATTATATATTACGTGTATACATACGTACATATAAAGAATAAAAATATGTATTATCACACAGCTAATTTTATTTGTTTATAAGCATAAAAGTATGTCTAATAAAATATCAACTACATTTGTTTAAATATTAAAAAAAAATTAACCTATTAATAAGCTATTTGAAAATAGTACCACAGTTATAGATTAAATAATTTATATTAAGCAAAACTATTTGTGTTCAAGGTGAATCCGTGGGAGCATAGACAAATGTCGTACAAATAATTTTTGTAACTATTTTACGTACACAAGAAAAAGTTTAATTAAATGACTCACAGTTTCAAATATTAATGTACGTATTTATAAAAATGTACTAGAGACATTAAGTACCCATAGTTAAAATGTTATTATTATTTAAAGTAACTTATTGTGTTCCTATTTGTTCGAGAAAATACTTTAACAACATAGTATAATATTTTGGATATATGCTTATATTTTATACGAGTACAATTTATTATTATAGTATTTTAATCACTATATACTATTAAAATTAATTGATTTAAATTTATGTAGTTAAAATTACAATAAATGTATTACAACTGAATTTCGTTAAATTTGTATCCGACACACTCCTAAGATTTTTATTTGTGTGGAGCTTGAAAGTGTTAAACAAAACTAAATTTATCAAAATGTTTGAATCATTATTTCTAAATAGTAATGATTTCATAAATATAAGCACAAATTTAAACAAATTATATATATACATATATATTAAAAAAAATCCTTTTGTGGAGCAAAGCTCCCAGGCACCATTAGTGTTTTATTTATTGTTTTAAATTTAAATGAGATTTAATGCCTCTGCGATTATTTGAAATATGGTAATAAATCAAGGAACATCAAGATTTATTTCTCTGTCACTTGCACACATTTATAAAGACAAATCCCATTTCGTAAAAATCAAAATGGCAGGCTTAAAACTAATATTAGAGCACGTTGACCTATTATAAAAATTAAATAATGTGATATTTTCTGTAGGCCTAGAGGTTTATGGATTTAATTTTTTTAAACATTTATTTAAAAAATTTTAAATTATTATAACAGTATTTTTTTTTCTTAATATATTTTAAAATATATAAAATTAAAAATACACTCTATATTGTTAAAAAATAATGATTATCAAATAATAGATTCTGCTCTACTGAATTTTTAAACTAGGTTGGTTTATTGTAATATTATTTAAAAATTTGTTATTTAAATTTGAATAAATATAATTTGGTTGTTAAGCGTGCGTTAAGCAAAATAAATATGATATATTTAATTAAAAATATCTTGGATTTTTCAAAAGGCTATTTTAAGTTGATGAAGCGAACATAACAATCATAACGCAAAATTATGTGTTTTAATTAATAATGTACCTAGTATATTGTATATATATAACCATTTAATATTTATTAATAGATATGTTATAATATCCAAACACTCTTTTCATTGTATCAACAGATAAATAAACATATAAATGCCTATAGGTTTTTCTTATATTTAACGAAAGTACCAAATTATAATTTTTTTTATGTAATGAAATATGTTATATTTGTTATTTTGCTTTTAAAATATTGGTAACTGATAAGATTTAAATTAAAATTTAATGTTTTTGACCTGTTAAGTAATTGCATCAACCTATAAACTAAAGGAATATAAATTAATGACTATAAACTAATCATGTAATTATTGATAAATAATTTTTTTAAAGTTATTTGCTACTTACTAGTTTTAAATTATGGAATAAAATACGACTCTCGTGTCATAAAGATAATATATTATTGTACACTTATTGTATGTATTCATATAAGTTTACTAATGATTCCAAGTATAAGAAATACATTTTAACGATGGTATTTATACCATACTTTAATTTTTACAAATTAATTTATAAAAATCTTGTTATTTTTATGATCCAGAATTATAATTTAAATAAATTGTTCAATAAAAAACATTTTTTATACGTGTACATGTAATTAAATGTTATGAAAATTATTGTCTTATTCTTTAAAGTGCTTTTACAAATTATATTATTGTAGAACTATAAATTTGTAAACTATTATATTATATATATTATATATTTTATATTATATTATAATCTACAATTGAAAGTCTGAAATTATTTCTAAAGATTTATATATTGCTGATTTTTGAATTCCAAAATCAAAATCTAAATCAAATCTAAATTTCAAATGTATTCATATGCATCATTGATTTATTTTGTTGAAAATATTTAGAAGATTTTATTGTTCTTAATAATTTAAAAACCAATCAATTTCTCAACCACCTCGCTCAACTCTTAGTTAAATATTTTAAAAAGACAACAAAATGTTTCAACTAAACTTATGAAAAAAGACATACTCATTAAATTAATAGCACATAAATATTAATGTAATACAATTGAACAGCTTCATAGTTTGTTACATTTTCATTTTCAGTTTCATTTTTGTAATCTAATCATTTATTGTGCTTAGTCATCAAATGAGTAAATTGATTCTTTTGATTAAAATATACCTAAATTTTATTTTTACTTAGGGTACGAGGACAAAATAAATTTCCATTTTGAGTGTTGATGGTATAAAGTGATTTTTATTTAACACAGGCATTGTCACGCTCTAGATTTCAAATACGCAGTGACAAGCCGGCGAAAAAAATATATTTAAAAAATAGTATGCTATGTCAACACTAAAAATAGGCTAGTGATTTAGACTCTGAGATGACAAAGAACTTAGTGGTCACTGTACTTTCTCAATGTCTGACAATAGGGATTCACAAGGAATATATATTTTAATTATGTATATATACTATATATATCAATAAAAATAATATCAAACTTAAACTTAAAGAAATAATATTTAGAACATTATTGGATGATATTTATATACCATTAATCATTAAAAAATTGAAAATAAGAAACTTGAATAGTTGAGGAAGTAGTACTCAAAGAAAAAATACAGAGAAAACAGGAATTGATAGAACAAGGAATTTTATAAAGATAGTTGATTATTTAGTGAGTAAGGTTTATAGTTTATGTATCTAAGAATTGTGGTACAAAGAAACTGCGATTTTAAGAAGAATATGTGAAGAATAGGATTGAACTTGGATGTTGATTATTATGGTAAAATTGGAAGTGGAGAGACATTTGTTGGGTATTTTAAAATAGGTGGAAGTTGATTGAAAAGTAGTTCTTGTAAGACAATGATGTGTTCCGTAGTAATATTATACTTATGTATTGATTATAAATGTTGAGAAAAGAACAAATTACAGAAAAAAAAATATATTCCATATAGTTGTAAAAAAGGGAGGATTAAAAAAAAAAAAAGAAAAATTCGTTTAATGTTTCAATGGTCAGTAAAATCATTAATATTTAACTTACAACAAAACTTAATTAAATATATACATAAAAGTTGTAAAAAATGCATATTTCATTTTATGATAAAAATGTACAACATTAAGTAGAAGTATAAACAATTTAATGGACAATTTTAAGACCATTGAAGATAATATTATATTTGATAGTATAAAAAAAATGATAATAGGTAACTAACATTTCATTGAGTAATATTTGTTTTCAATGTATTCACCATAAATGCCTGAGTGAAAAATATAAATTAATTTTACTGGTCAATTTTAAGATGTATAATTATTATTATAAATTGCATTAAATTTATAAATTTGTTTCCATGTTTATGGATATTTTGATAATATTCATTAAAAATTTATACTTGTTTATTTTGATTGAATGCTTAATTTTATTTTTATTTTTTTTTTTTTGTGTATATTTTGATAATTTTAAATTTTAATCTTTCTCTTTTTTTTTTTTGAAATTAATTATAAAATTAATTTATTATAAAAAAAGTTCACAACAACACTTACAATGTCGTTATATCAATATGAATAATAATAATAATAATTCGATAAATGTAAATTTTTTTATATACATATTATTAAGTAAACTTCTGTCAAATTTTAGGCTAATGACAAAAGATGTCGAAACGTTAATATCATTAAAAAAATAAAATAAAATAATAATTTGATAGATTAACTAATTTAATTAGTAGTTACCTGCAAATATTTTCTTCTTCTTTTAGCTACCTTTCCTTGAACTACATTGCATTCGCCATGTTTGAACACTACTCTTCTATATTGTCTTCTAGAACTGAATCTTGGTTGTCTGTATCTATAAAAAATAAAAATATAATATATTAGTATATTTATTACTTTAGTAGAATATAAACATTAAAAAAAAAGCAAAGCGTATAAAATATAACATATATATATTTTTTTTTTTTGGTATTTCAGACAATCAAATATATTAATTACAATTAAGTATATTAAGTATATAATCCTTAAAAATAAACAGTAGATACAGTGTATTATACTTTTTTCTACACGAAAACTGCTATCTTAATTTACAAACATATGTCTTTTTCTCAAATAGTACATTTTAACCATTTTTATTGAATATTTATCAATGTTTAAATATAGTGAGTAATATATCACAGAGTAAATTTTTTGGTAAAATGCCATTTTATGAATACAATTTTCACACGTTCTTCAATAATATATATTTATATAAATTAATAGTTAAGTTTCAAAAAATATTAATTTGTCCTCCCACATAACATTAGAATGAAATCATATATTAATCTTAAATGAAAACTTAAATGAAAATGTAAAAGGACATTGACAAACTGTCACTTTTAGATTACATAAGTTCTTATTTTACAAAAAAAAAAAGAGTAACAATATTTTTAAAAATGTAAAAAAAGTAGGTTAATTAAAACGTACAAAATTAAACTACAATTTTAAATTAATTCAGATGCATACATAATCATTTTTATAAGACCCACCAAATTCATTAAGTTGTATGAAAAAAAAGTTATAAAAATCTTTTATTTTACTCATCATACAAATCAAATTTATAATAATACTTACAAATTATTTTCAAATATGTTGGTATTATTTATTAACCAATAAAAATATAAGACTGATCTAATAATTAAATGTATTTCTTTTAATATTTTAACTATCAAATTATTGAATATTTTTGTTTCTGATAAATTGAATAAGAATTGTATCACTTTTCACATATGAAATACATCATCATTATCATTGGCATCACAATTTTTAAGAGTTGTTGCCGCCACCGACACTTCCTTCCACTTTTCTCGATTTTTTATTTTTTTTTCCCCAATTTGGTATCCCTATTTTCTCTTAGTCTTGCTTTATTCTATCTAGCCTTCGATTTTTTGGACGTCCTATTGGTCTCTTTCCAGTGACTTTTCATTCGACCGCCGCTTAAAGGTACTCTGAGTTTGACCTTCTCATTACGTGCCCAAACCATTATATTATTTGTGCTTTCACAAAATTTGTTATCCTTGGAACTCTTGTTAATTCTCTGGTCTCTTTGTTCCTTCTGCGCCAGCATTCCAGTTCGTTGTCGTATACTGGGCCACAGATGATTTTCAATATTTTATATACGAACGACATAATTGTTTGTGCCATTCTGCTCGCTAAAGGCTCATATACATTATAGGCTAATTTACCTCATATACATAATTAACGTTGGTCTAATTATTACCGTGTAAAGGTATACTTTGGTTTTTCTAAAAAACAGTTTAGAATTCAGGTATCTGGTTAACGAAATTGATGCCTTCTCTGCATTGATAATTCGGCTATTTAATTTGATGAACCAGTCATTATTACCAATGATAGGGGCCCCCAAATACATATGTAAGCTGATGCACTTTTTCAAATTAATGTCCCTGAATCATTACATTTTTGACCGGGTTGTTATCTGTTAATAACTCCATCACTGGTTTTATTATCATTTACATTCAGCCCTATGGTTTTTGCTTCGTTAATGAGGACTGCGGTGCTCTGCGCCAAACTCTTCCTATCTTAACCAACCATATTCAAATCATCTGTATAACCTAAGATAACAATCTTATTTGTGCCGATGTCAATACCATAGTTACCCCTTTGTATGTTCCGTAAGACTTTCTCCTATGCAATATTGAACAGTAGTAATGAAAGAGCGTCACCTTGCTTTAAGCCTGTTACCACTTGGATTTCTTCGAATAATAGGTTATCTACTCTTAATTTATATTTTGTACCATTCATGCATTTCCCGATGAATGTTATCATAGGCCTTTTTGAAGTCGACGAATACCTGCCATACGTTTTGTTTGTATTCAAACTTTTTTTCTATAATCTGACTAATCACCGGCATCTGATCTATTGTCGATTTCCTTTTTTGAAATCCAAATTGGTACTTCCCTATACATTCATCTGCAAATGGTTGTAATTGTATTAATAATATTTTTATTACAATTAAGTTTGTCACCTTTCTTATGTAGCGGTACCACGATGACCTTATTCCATTCTTCTGATAGTTCGTCATCGTTTCATATTTTCTGACATAACTCATATATTGCTTGGTGTAGTGCATCCCAGTCATATTTTATTAATTCAACCGGTATTCCATCTGTTCCAGGCGCTTTCTAATTCTTCAGACTGTTGATAGCTTTTTTGACTTCTTTTATGGGTACATCGTTTACCACTTGTTCAACCCTATTATCTTCCTATTATCTATCCATGCACTGGTTGCATTGATACTTCACTATTAAGCAGTTTTTCAAAAAAAATTTTCCAATTTGTTATTTTCTCAATTGGGTCTATTAAAATGTTGTCATTAATATCCTTGTCAGCTTTCAGATTAAGATATAAAATACATGATTTCAAATTTTCTTAAAACTACATATTACGTACACTTATTACGTATTTACAAAATAAGATGCGTGAATGATTTAATACACTGGTGATATTAAAAATAATTAGACATAGTTTAAATAACATGATTTCTATAATGTAACTTAAGATACAATGTGCCATTTGTAATATTTTATATATTGAATAAATATAAATACCACTATTTGCGAAGATTTTAAACCTTAAGTTAATTATATTAAATATTTATATTATTTTATACAATAATGTAGTCTAAATTAGATAATTTTTTTTTATTTATATGATATTAAATAAAATAAGGCAAAATGTGAATGACTTTCTAGTTATGAATGTTATTCATTTTTATAGCATAGATTTAGACTTTTTAATGTAATTTCTATATTTGAAATTAGTTAAGATTCTTAATTGAATAAAGATAGGTATTATGCATGTAAAAACATGTTTTTATTCTTTTTATTTTCAAAAATATTGTTTTGAACATTTGAAACTATTTCTTAAACAATGTTTATAAATTTTGTTTATAAAATGTTAGCTAAATAGTCATAAAACACCGGCACTTATTATTTAGAATATGATCTTGCGTTTTATTACAGTTAACGTAAAAATTACCAATACTTTACAAAAAATAATATAAAAGACTAAGAATTAAACTAGTACATTTTTTGTTAAATAAAATAGCAAGAGTGAACGGTTTTTAGTATTTACTCTATATCCTGAATCTGCAATAAATATACAAAACCAATAAGAAAATATAAAGATAATATAAATATGATAGATATGATATTTTAACTCTAAATACATTTAATGATACGTAAATGCTGCTTTATTTAATATCCGATAGTTAAATTTTATTTTTTTAAATATTTTTGCTTAATATTAAGTATTAAATGTTAAAAGTTTACAATTTCAAATAGTATTTGTTTGAGTGAAAACTAACAAATATATAATATATAGATAAACAAATTAAAAAAAATGAATAATAAGATGAAGAATTATTAAATTAATAAAAATACAATATTAAACCTTGAATTTACATTTTTGTTGTCTATATGATAGTATGTTAAAGTTATAAAATAATTTAAAAACATCATACTCATAATATAAAATTCAATGTTCTCAAATGTATGCTTCTAAAAGTAGTTTTTTCTTTATTATAATTTTTAATGTTAATCTAATAGTCTAAAATACTTAATGAAAACTATATGTGTTAAATACTGTATCATACAGAACTATGACCTATATAAAATATCTGCCGATAAAGTATATATAGGTATATGTTATATTATTTAATTATGATTTATCAATCTATAAGAGTTTTAAAGACACTTTAGTCAATGACTATGAATTTTTTGCCACAAAATATTGTCGAATAATTTTTGTATAAAATTATAAAATCAAAAATAGCATTTATACTAAATTGAAAACAAATGATTTTGTTCTTATGGTAATAATAAATTGGCATAATTCAAAAGAAAATAATGACGAGTTTAACAAACGTAATGATAATGAGAGCCTGTTATACCTATTACTCATTTGTACTGGTACTCCTATGTAGCCAGACGCGCATTCCTCAGTGAAAGAATTCCTCATGCAGTGAAAAATCAGAGTGAAATTTACATTAATAAATTGTTCAAGAAATTAATATGTAATTTTTTTCTAATATAAACTATTTACTTTTGTACTTACTAATACTAATAATTAAAAAAGGTTTTAGATTTTAATAGACGATTTATTCTCATTTTTATACATTTATACTTTTTAATGTACATTAAAACGAATCGGAACCCATTCAAATACATGCGACCATATATATATATATATATTCATAGGAATGCCTAGTGAAATCATATATTTTTTACATATTGTACTAATTCAAAATTCCGTTCTCATTTAAAAATATGCACTCTTAAAACTATGAAGTTTGTATACAATCACAAGTGAATTGATTTCATACTCGACTAGTTTTATCAATAAAATTATTTGTAATTACTGCAGAAATCAAGACAGTCGTTTAAGCGAACATTATAATACGATATTGAATCGTATTTGCATAGCTTCATCGCCTATATTCTATACTGTTGACATTGCCATGCACCTAATTTAGCACACGGGATTAGAATGTCGGCGATTTCGTATTATTCAACGTGTACCACGTTTTGTCTCGGGACTAATCATTTTTCAAGGTACGCGCACACTGCATACATGTACACATGTCACGTAAAAACGTCAATAATTTTATTTCCCTTCACACAGACTTAAATTATAATAATAATAATAATAATAATATGCGAACACATCAAAGGGGGGTCGACCTAATTCGCGCTCAACACTCGATTTATGATTAACCTACACTTCGATATAGGTCCGACGCCGCGCTGCGTGTACCCTCCGTACACTGTGGTACGACACTAGTGCCAAAATGTAATC